CCCCCCCCCAACTTCGTTTTCCTGGATGATGCCGTTGAATTGAGCGCAAACGATGTTCATGCTTCTCATCAGAAGCACCCGAAGAAAACCCACACCGTTTGCGTTTGCACTGGTTTCCTTTGAATGGCAGGAAGCGGCGTTCGTCCGTGTGGAAAACGTAGTTAAGTAAAAAAAAACACTCATGTGATGTGGCAAAGCAACAACTGATAGCCCGTTTTCCTTCGCCCACTCCCGTGCCACCAGATCGAAGGAAAGGGCGGCAGCGGCGGCGGCAGCCGCTGCACGTCCGCAGCGATGGGCACGCGTCCACCCGGGGTGCACGCTGCTGCGAATCCTGTCCTTCGAGGACCACGTCGTTGCCGGGGCTACCCCGACGCTGCTCCTGTTCCCGAAGGACGGGCAGTCCCACAAGGATTTCTTGCGAGACAGCGGCGGCCGGATAGTCACCCTTGACCCGTAGGAAGTACAAGTACATGATCTTGGTGTGTTGCTGACCTTTTCTCCTGTTCGTACTGGTCTTCGTCTTGCCCTAGACGCCTGGTGTTCGCCTTACGCAGGGATTGGTAGTCTTGATTGTAGATTTGACTTGAAGGTTCCCGTGTAAGTTTGGTACAGGTCTAACAACAAGCTGTGCGGACTTTTTGAGGATATGATAAAATTATCGTCGTCTGGTGTCTGCTCCTGGGGATCAACGAGCGCGGTATTCCCGAATACCCAGCACCCCTTGAAGCCAACTACCTGCTGCTTGATCATGTTGGCTCAAAGAATATTCGTTCCATAGGGTACACCTCGACTGCTGTACCATTAATTGTCGTTGCAGCACACATGCTACCTCCAAGGAGACACATGTCCTGTTCCAGCGAGGTAACGTCTTCGCGGCTGAAATACATGAAACAGTTTGTCAATCATGCACAACCGTCGAGGTAATGGCCATGATAAGCGTATTGGGCGCTGCTTCGACGAGCGTCCGCGAGGCAGCCACCACCGCCACGACGGCAGCCATGAGACGAGATGTAGTCCTTCCAAGGCGATTGTCGGGCAGTGCTGGAACGACGTCAACGAAACAGTGACTTGAATTCAACCATTTCATGGCATCCGCGCGGGTAGGACCGGACAACACACCGAGAATTGCACCTCTGACCTAACAACGGTATCAAGACAACCCCGAGAAAGAGAATGGGGATATATTCACGAGAGGGACAGAGAGAGAAACAGCATGGCGATAATTGTACCTCTGACCTAATAACGGTATTAACACAACCCCGAGAAAGAGAAGGGGGATATATTCAAGAGAAAGAGAGAGAGGGAGAGTCAGAGCATGACGATAGTATTGCTTCCGTCGGTGATTTCCTGGGCAGGACCGCCAGAAGAACAAAAAAAGCACGCCGTGCTGTTCAAACTCTCGGCCCCGCTCCTCAAGCAAGACGGCACAAAAAACAAAACCATAAATTACAACATGCTCGTGTGAGCGCGCGAGAACTAACGAGGCGCCGTGCTGCATAGCACTACCCCCCGTCTCCCCAATTTTGGAATGTTACATACACGTCGCGCCTGCACTTTCCATGCGGCCATTCACTATCCTAAATAGGCACAGTTGCGGGGCACTATTTTGGCTCTGGTGACTTCACGCGCCACGAATATGCACAGGGCCAAGCATGGCTTCGCACTCTTCCAACTATGATGCACTGCTCACGCACTACACGCACTACGATTGTCCGGCGCCGAGCATCATGTTGATTCTCTGCATGATGTAGTCCTGCTCGGGATCGTACCTGTGCAGCGTACACAAGTTCCGATCGACGGAAAACAGCCAGAGAACGTGAGAGCAGCAACAGGAGGGAGGTCGAGCGAAAGCAACGGGCGGCGGAAAGGGGGGTTGCTCCCAAAGAGCCAAATGCACGGTCTCGTCTAACGGCAGTCTTCTCCAAAGGTTCTACCGCAAACACCAATGATACCACGCCCTGCTTTGACTGCCGAAATCTAGACAAAACACATGGAAGTACATCGTGGGATCATGAAAACGAGCGACACGTCGTTACCAACATAAAAACATGGAAGCACTAAAACATCGCATGCCAGCACTCACGGAACGTCCTTGCTGGGAATCTCTAGCACTGTGGGGATGGTCTTGGAGTAGCTCCCGAGGAGATGACGGATGTCGTTCGCAACGTGCTGGTTGATGAGCACGATCGCTATGTCATCCCTCGCCGTGAGGCGGTTGAACGCGTCTTCGATTTGCGAAACCGTCGTGTCTGCGCGTTGGAGGCACAGGGGGCCGGCCGGCCGCACACATGAGACGATTTGACAAAACAAAAATCATGCGGCCTCAACGTTGGTCAAGCACAGCAAGCGGGCCTTGAGTCAATGAACCCGCTAAGTGCTGCGGTCCGTGCACGAAAAGGCAACGACGGGGAGCGAAGGAGCGGGCCATCAACGTTTGAAGGATGAACACAACTGCAAAACCTGCTTGTTTTCCCCCAGGTGCTTCGGGACCCAAAATTTATCTGTAGCGCCAACAACGCAACTTCTCACCGTTCTTGACAACGAGGAAATTTGTTGTGTTGACGGTACGGTGCCCCACTCCCGCCAACAAAAATCCGGTCACAGTGTCCTGTCAACGTCCAGAGGTCAAGCAAGGAGCACACCGCACACGCATGGGGGCGGATGATCAACCGCCGTATGCATTGTATGACAGCACACGATCACGTTATAAGCACGCCGCCTTTCGGAACGATGTTTCCAGCTTTCCTGTCGTGAGGCGCGCCCAAAGACCACGGCGTTCGCGGCGCATACATCGAGGGCTTGAAAAGGGCCACGTGTGGGTTTCACATCCCGGCTGATGGTGGCAAGGTGTTGAGAAGAATATTTATTTGTTGTTGTTTTTTTTTTCTCCCATCATTGGATTCTGTCGTCTGCCCCTCTGGTCCGTATCCTCCACTTCTACCAGCTAGACGACCCAACCGGGGTTACACAGGAGGGGGGGGTTACACGTGCGGTTCCTGCCTGAGATATTTTTATCGCGACAAGGGTACAGCAATCCCTTCCCTTGCGACTTATGAAGTCGATCAAATTTACTAATAACAACGAGCTTTGCAGCGCGTCGCTTCCAACAGAGACCAGGATTTAACAAGCGAGAAAAAAACTCACTCTGTCGGGACTCGAACCCATGACCTGGCCCTTAGCAGGCTACAAAGCTACCCACTAGACAACCGGGGCGACCGGTGATGTTTGAGTGTAGCGGCGTGATCCTCCAGCGAGTAACGGAATGACTGGCCAACGCACTAGAGATGATACACAAATGATTGCTGCTCGTTGACATAAGGATAAATACAATGTGAACCGCAGGATGGGGTCCGACCCCCCCCTCCTATGTGACCCCGGTTGGGTCGTCTAGCTGATAGAAGTGGAGGATAGGGGCCAGAGGGGCAGACGACAGAGTCCAATGATGTTGTTGTTGTCTTCACGATGATGGGAGACGAAAAAAAACAAAAATGTACAGCAGTATCCCCGTTTTGCCGTTGCCTGCTTGATCTGTGCTGAGTGCTGAGGAAGGGGAATTTGCAACGACATAGCGTTCGTTGCGCAGTCACATGCTGAAGAGACCCAGGCAATACTTCAGCGCGTGTGTCAGCTATGTAGCGTGCGTAATAACACCCTCTGCGCGGGGCAGCAGGGTCAATGTCTTCGTGGGAAAAACACCTTCATCAACCTCTGCCTGCTGTGTGTGTTGTGCTCGGCTCTACCTACGTCCAATACACAAGATGGCGTTAGGCGCGATTAGTGACCATGAGCTTTGGCTGAACTGTTGGCACGGGCACAAGCCATTGACCCTCGCGATCACAAAACGCATTAGCCAACAGCAGCGAGAGGGATGCTGCTACGTAGCAGAAGCAGCACGCAAACCCCCTCCTGCTGCTGTGCTGCTTCGTACACATGCGGAGTAAAACACATCCGGTTCTAAGGTGGAGGTAGAGAAGTGCACAGAGATTCAGCACGAATTGCAATGAAAGAAGACTAGCACGGCTACCAAAGAGTCTCGCGAAACGATCCACAACCGAGCAATAGCACCCAACCAGCAGCACAAGCCGCCTTTCGAGCAACCTGTGTTGTACTCGGCTGTACATACCTGCAAGAACCCCGCCGAGAACACTAACTTCTGTAGACCAATGCTTGCCCATTGGCTCCTCTCTTACCTCGTCCCCGATGATGGCGATCAGCTTGCCACTCTCGTCCATAATCTTAACGAGAAGGCCTCTTCCTATCGGGTTCTTTGGGACTGTTGCGCTATCTCTCGGCTCTGTGTGCTTGTGCAGCTGAGCTGGGTGTGTGCGCTATGTACCGAGGAATATTTCTCTCGTCATGGGATATGGTCACATTTTTATGCCTATCTGCGGACCCCCTCGCCCTGTTGTTGTCTTTGCACAGCAGATCACAGAGAAGCAGGCAACAAAGGGGTGTCCTTGCGGTCACACCCACGCACTTGGCACACACGCTGACGTGGGAAGGCAGTGCATATCGTGGACGACGACGGCGCCATCGCGAGGAACATTTCGCCGTGGAAGCCCGGGCACCAACAGCTCTGGTCTCTGGTCGATTCCGTGGAACGATTGACCGTTGTGAATCGGTACGAAAAAACGATATATTTTACATCGGCTGCGCAGCAGCCGATATAACGATATTTTCTCCGATATATCGCCTACGGCCGAGCGCAGCGAGCCGTGATGGGGGCGAGCGAAGCGAGCCCCCCCATCGGCCCCCCCCGGCTGGTGAGGGGGCCTCGCCGGAGGCGCCGCCGGAGGCAGAAAATTTGGTGCATTTTCCTTTCATTTCCCGTCAAAATGGGCCCAAATGCGGCATCAAAAAGGGCTTGACTTCAGCTGCAAACATCGCACGGAATGTAGAAAAAAAAAAAAAAGATTAAGATTGATGTATTGTCGCGTATCCTCAGCAGTACCCTCCTTCGGTCTCTCCCTGTGTCTACTTCCCGGTTGGTTCTGGACATGGTGCTGTTGTCTGCTGTTTCTGCGCTGCTGTGCTGTGTGTGTGTGGCGTACAGGGGCTCCGTACTGCTGCGCATACCCTAAATTTGATTCACGGAGCCCCTAAGAAAACATCGGTCGGAACATCGGCACGAATTTTCGATACCGATATCGATATATATCGGACGATATATATCGTGTACATCGTTCCGATTCACAACTCTACCTACCGTTTCCCGTTTATTGCAACAAATCAAAAGACAAACAGGAGCAGCCGCAGCAGCAACGTAACCTCAGGCTCAGACGGAAACTGGAACAAGAGACCCAGACACGTGCGAGAGAGAGAGAGAGAGAGAGAGAGAGAGAGAGAGAGAGAGAGGTCGAGCTAGGCAGCCAGAAGAGGTGGACACGAGAGCAATCCACGATGAGCGTGAAGCAGGTGCTCTCGGAGGCCCTGGGAGGCATCCAGGGCGCAAACCAACCGAGAGGTCTTCACAATTTCATCCAGGAGATCCGCCTCTGCTCCAACCCTACTCAAGAGCAGGTAATCATCCCACCCCCCCTCGGAATCGGACTCCGCCGTGATTGGAATGTGTAGTCTAGTCCTCTAGGGAACCTGGGCCGTCACGTTTTTTGTCGATTGTGGTTCCCGTCAGCATGGAATGAACACATGCTTCGCCGGGGGATGGCAACATGTGGTTGTAGCAGGTACTTTCCATCAGTTGTTGTGCCAGTCAACATGACCTTGCATTCTACCGGTTGGTGTGTACTGCCACTGTGTTTTGCTCTTGGCGTACAGAGCAGTAGGATATTTTCATGAAAGTATTGGATTTTGGATGAGGCCTCCAGTTCTGAGGCCAGCGGTCCCACTGATGTGCTACTGCTGTAGATGCTGCACTGACTGCCGTCGGTGCGGCAATGAATCTGTAAATGGGTTCATTATTGTTTAAGGGCGCACGGGGGATCGCAGCGTCTCCTCTCCTACAATCCAGGAAACGCCTGCATCTGAGTTTTCTCAAGTCTAACTCCAGTACGAAACTGCCATCGCAAAATAAGCGTCCGCCGCCGTCGCTTGTGTACAGTGTTCGTATCTGAGATTGTAGCCCTATTTTGCTGTTGAGTTTTGCTCTAGACCTACAGAAGGATCATCTAATGAGGGTGTTGGATTTTGGATGAGGCCTCCAGCGCCGGCCTGTGGTCCCGCCTATGTACTCTCTTCGCCGTGTGTTATGTTCGACCACTGACCAGGAGCCTGGTTGAGTCACCCAAACTTTCGTGAATTATGTCATTTGTATTAACGCTTCCGGCGGCGGGCACAAACTGCAAAGTCGGCCTCGACGGCCGGAGACAGCGACGCCTCGTTGTTGGCGGTATAGGTGATCGCGTGCTCCCGGGCGGAAGCGGGTACAACGTTATATTATTGAACTTGGCCATGGACTCCGTTTTCGATCCCCCAGTACACGTCTCACCACGAAACATGGGGGGACTGTCGCCATGATAAGTAGGACGAAAACACACACAACACAACCTGCATGATCTTCTCTATCGCGGCGCCCCCCATGGACCTGCTCAACCCCCCCCCCTACAACTCTGAAAGAATACATGGTAAACTGGGTGGGGAGGTCGACTGCCCGCGAGTGCGCCTGAAGGGTTGATGTCATGAAGGGTGCCGTAAGTTTGGCGGGCCCGGGGCTCCCATTGCCGACCACCTGCGGGAACAGATAGCCCTGGGACAAGTCCCATCCGACCGCGTGGGCGGCGTCGATGTATTCCGCGACGGCTTTGGCTGCACAAGTGACCTGGTTTGAACGGACTAGTACGGCTTCGGTCGAAGCCCGCAAGGTCATCCAAACAAGAAATTGAAAACGAAGCCCCCCGACTCCGGCACCTGGAGCACCTGTGACCCTCGCGTAAAAATGAAAACGAGAGGTTGAACCCCCGGCGCATGGTGTGGTGCGCGAGAACAAAAAGGGCTACATCACCGTGGCGGGGGGATCGGGGGTTAGCAGTGCGGGGCGAGCGGAGCGAGCGCGGCGGGAGGAGG